CAAGCAGCGGGAGAAGGAGCGCCTGGCAGCGCTGGGGCCGGAGGGTGCTGCTGACACCACCTTCGAGTACCAGGTAGGGCCCTGCGGGATGCGGGACCCCGCGGGATGCGGGACCCTGCGGGATGCGGGACCCTGCGGGATGCGTCGCTGCCGCGTGTCAGCATCGCTCAGGGTGCACGGAGCTGCCCCGTGGTGGCACAGTGGCCGAGGCACAGGGCTCTTGCTGCCTCCCCAGGAGCTGTGCCGCCAGCACATGGCCGCCAAGTCTCTCTTTGGCCGCGCTGATGCTCCGGCAGCACCGGCAGAGACTTCGAGGGTGAGCAGTGTCTCGTCCCAGTTCAGCGACGCGCCGCAGCCCAGCCCCAGCTCCCACAGCAGCACGCCCTCCTGGTGCGAGGAGCCTGTCCAGTCCAACATGGACATCTCCACTGGACACATGATCCTGGTGAGCCAGCCTGGAGGGAGGGAGCCAGCCCCCTCCCCAGCCCTGCCTCTGCCCCTCTGCTGCTGGGCTCACTCCCACCCTCTGCCCCAGGCCTACATGGAGGACCACCTCCGCAACCGGGACCGGCTGGCCAAGGAGTGGCAGGCACTCTGTGCCTACCAAGCTGAGCCCAGCGTCTGCTCCATCGCCCAGAGTGAAGCCAACCTGAAGAAGAACCGCAATCCCGACTATGTGCCCTGTGAGCATCCCAGCCACCCTGCCCCAGGGATCAGCCCCAGGCACCAGCTGTCCTGTACAACACTGGGGCAGGGTGTGGGGCATGGGGACGCTCAGGGCCATGGCTGGTTGCAGCATTAGTGTGCCTGCAGCTCCTCTAGCCACTCACCAAGTCTCCTGGCCTGTTCCCTAGATGATCACGTGAGGATCAAGCTGAAAGCCGAGAGCAACCCATCCCGCAGTGACTTCATCAATGCCAGTCCAATCGTGAGTGATCACTCCTGCCCTGCCATCCTGCTCCTTGATGTGCCCAGCCTAGGTGAGGTTTGCACTCTGGGATGGAGCTGGACTGAAGTTACATCCCTCAGGGCTATAGATGGGAGCTTTGTGCCTGCCCCATTCCTCAAACAATTGTTAAATCCTATTTTTGTCCTGGCTGGGGCACCTGAATGTCCCTTCCCAACCTTCCTATCACCCCTGGAGTATCTCCCTATTCCTTCAAATGTTACCAACCCCTGGCTGAAGAGCGTGAAGTGTGATACCCCCTTTCCTGCTCCAGATTGAGCATGACCCACGGATGCCAGCATACATTGCCACGCAGGGGCCGCTGTCCCACACTATTGCTGACTTCTGGCAGGTGAGTGTCACACAGGTGTGCCAGCACATCGGGGTCCCTTTGTGTGCTGCCCACAAACTGGGTCACAGGGGCTTTACTGCCCTCCCCCCTGGGCTGTCCCCCAGCAGTGAAACCCCCTTGCCTTGCCCACAGATGGTGTGGGAACATGGCTGTACTGTCATTGTCATGCTGAGCCCCCTGGCCGAGGACAGCGTCAAGCAGTGTGACCGCTACTGGCCAGATGAAGGCTCCTCCCTTTACCACATTTATGAGGCAAGTGTGGCAGGCGGCCTGGGGCATGGAGCATCCTCCGGCCCCCGTCCCCCTGAGCGCCAGTGCAGCGCTTGCCTGGCACTGATGCCCACACCCTGCCTTGCTTGGCAGGTGAACCTGGTGTCAGAGCACATCTGGTGCGAGGATTTCCTGGTGCGCAGCTTCTACCTGAAGAACGTGCAGTCGCAGGAGACGCGCACCCTGACGCAGTTCCACTTCCTCAGCTGGCCGGCGGAGGGCATCCCCACCACCACCCGGCCCCTCCTCGACTTCCGCAGGTGAGCGCCCACCTGGCACCGTGCCAGCCCTTGGGGAGCCGGCGGTGATCCCAAATCCTGATGGGGCAGGTGAGGACATCGCTGCCACGATGATGGGGATCGGGGCCATGGCATGGGCCAGGTGCAGGACTAGGAGCTGCCATGGATTGGGAGGGGAACAGAAAATACAGGTTTTGGCCAACTTGGGATGAGGCTCAACAGAGTTTGGTGGGTAAGAAACCTCTGGCTGAGATTGCCAGGGCTCTCCAGCCTTTACAGGGAGGGTAGGAAAAGTGCTCTTCCCCTGAGCTGGCATGGAGGGCAGCATTGACTGGCACTTTCCCCAGCCATGGGTGCAAGAAGAAATCCCCAGTGCCAGCCTTAAACTGGCTGTGACCCATTGCTCCCAATGCTCTATAGCCAGTGGTGGAGCCCCAGCCAGCCCAGGGCAAGGGCTGCAGGACTGGGACTGCTCCCAGGAGACTTGCCTGCCCAGGTCTTTAGGTCCCTGGTGGTGGTGGGCTCTTGGCAGGCACAGGCTGCTCACTGTCCCTGGGTTGTGCGGGGCAAGGGACCCAGCCTAGGGCAGCAGGGGTGTCTCTGAGCATGTCGCCCTCCTCTCAGTCCCGCTCACGCTCTCTCTCTCTCTCTGTCTGTCTCTGTCTCTCTCTCGCAGCTGCCGGCGTCATTTTTGTGATTTGCAGCTAGTAATCTGGCTCCAGTTGCATAGTCACAAAAGTGATCGTTGGCAGCCGTGCCTGCTGCGTGGAGCATGCCAGGAGCCCCACCGGCGCCTGGCCCAGCCTCACGCCCCACCGGACCAGCGCCGCTCCTGGGGGTCCTGCCACTGCTCCCCTCCCCAGGCTGCCACCTGAGGAACTCAACTCCTTTCCCTGCCCACTTTCCACTCGTGGTCCCCATCCCATGTCCAGCACCATTGTGGAGGCAGGAGGAGGCACGAGCAGGACCCCCAGGGCCACATCATGGTGTGCTGCTGCCCTGCCCCACCGAGCACAGCAAGGGACACCTAGCACAGCCTTGACCCGGCACAGCAGGGCACTGACCTGTTCCCTCTTGTCCTTGCAGGAAGGTGAACAAGTGCTACCGGGGTCGCTCCTGCCCTATTATCGTGCACTGCAGGTACTGCAGGGGATGGAGGGGCGTTTGGGGGTGACTGAAGGCTGGGACCTGCTGCCCAGGACCAGTCCCACTGCAACCAGCTCCCCTGGACCAAGCATTTGTGTTTTGCAGTGACGGCGCAGGCAGGACTGGGACGTACATCCTTGTCGACATGGTCCTGAACCGAATGGCCAAAGGTAGGTGCAGGGAAGCACCATTTCTGCCCTGTCCCTGAGCCTGGCCTGTGAACTCCCCTCCTAGCATCCCTCTCTCCCTCTGCCCCAGGGGTGAAGGAGATAGACATAGCTGCAACGCTGGAGCACATCCGAGATCAGCGGCCCGGTATGGTGCAGACCAAGGTACGCCCCAAACTGGGGATCCTCTCCCTGCACATCAGCATACATAACCCCTGGGGCTGAGGTGGCAGGGACCCTCACATCTCCTGTGCTCCTGCAGGACCAGTTTGAGTTTGCACTGACAGCCGTGGCCGAGGAAGTGAACGCCATCCTGAAGGCACTGCCGCAGTGATGGCAAGGAGCCCTCCCTCCCCTCCTGTCTGCTCCCTGCCCTGCGCTTCGCACTCTCCTCACCGGCCTCTGGGCTGCTCTCCCTGTAAAATGGTGTCTGTGCTTCTGGCTCTGCTCCCCCTGGCCCCAGGCGCCCCTTCCCATCTCCCCAAGGACGCTGACCTCAGGCCCTCTGTGTGCAGGAACCCCATCACACCCACTGTCACCTCACAGGGGACAGGGCTTGGTGGCCCTTATGCCCTGTGGAGGGGGACACCAGGTGGTGCTGCTGGGAACTGGCAGGGGGACTCCCCAACCTGTCAGTTCTGTTAGCTCTCTTCCTGTACCCATGTGGGGGGCAGACATGGGGGCAGGGGTCCTCCACAGTTGGGGGGAGCATGGGGTGCAGGGGGGCCTCGCCCAGCCCCACTCCAGGTCCCCTTTGTGTGCTCCCTGCCTAGTCACTCAAGCAGAAGAAAAATTTCTAGAGAACTATAATTTTGTATCTTGATGTGAATAAAGTTCGTGTGTCACGTTCGTGCAGCTGCAGCCAGGCCTGGCCTCTGACTGTATTGGGATGGCACAGGGAGGAAATGGGACGTTCATCCACCTCTATCCCTGCACTCCTCTACTGCCAGACAAGCACGGCTCACCTGCAGGCAAAGATGAGAACCCTGCATCCCCAGCCCAGAAAAGTCCCCACAGGCAGAAGCTACTGCAAACAGGTTTATTGACAGCTGTTAGCAGAAGGGGGGTAGAGAGGGGGGCTACAGCGAGGAGGGGGGCAGAGCCCAGCCCTGCTGGCTGAGCCCAGCCATGCTGCCCCTCGCTGCATACAGCCAGCAGCCTAATCTACAGCAACCCCCGTCACCACCCTCTCCACCACCCTGCGGTGCCCGGGGCCTCTCCCCCAGCCCCGGGATTGCTCGGCCACAAGCCCTGTCGTGCCCCCCCTCACCGCATCCCACGGAGCCAGAGGGTGCTGGGGAAGGGGGTGGCAGGGGGTGGCCGTGCAGGGAGAAAGCGGAGTCCTGGCTGGGAGAACCTTCGTGGGCCAGTGGGCGTGCGCGGTCCCCGGGCGCAGCAGCCTCAGAACACACCTGGGGAGACAAGCGGAGGGGGGTACACAACAGCACCTGTGAAATCCTCCTCGGCCAAGGGCAGGGGAGAGGCAGGGAAGGAGGGAGGAAGGTCCCAGGCGGAGGAGGAAGACAGCCAAGGCAGAACTACGGGCAATGAAGAGGGAAGGAACACTTGTGAACAGCACGGAGAGTCACTGCTGCTGTGGGAAGCAAGGAGGGAACAGTGCCCTGGAGGGTGCGCAAGGCATACGGAAGGGAGTGACCAGGCAGAGTCTGCAAGGAGACAGAAGAGCAGGGAGTACAGGCAGGAGCAACAGCATCCAGAGGGAAGAGACAAGACACAAGGCACCAAGCAGAGGCTATGTGCACAGCCCTCCTTGCAAGGAGGGGAGCTCAACTAGCACTCCCTGCAGCCTGGGCAGGGGCAGGCTGCAGCCAGGGAGGCACCCGCTGGACACGCTGCCTGCCTGCAGGGCTGGGAGCCAGAGCATGCCTGCCCATGGGCCCCCCACACTTCCAGCAGACAGGGCAGGGAGCTGCCCCTCTTCTTGGGACCCCATCAAGGGGGTTGCTCTTCAAGCCACTACCTCCAAGTCTGGGAGCCTCCAACGCTGGGATGCCACTAGCCATCCGCTCACCTGAGCAAGGAGGCAGGGCAGAAGAGACCCCCTCCCTTGCTAGGGGAGGCAGGAGCTGAGTTCCGAGCAGTGAGACTCCAGCCCTGCTTTCCTCTCCCTGCCTCACGCTCAGAGCAGGGGGCAGTGCCACAGCTTCACTTTGGGGGCAGGTTCGTGCCCCACTGCAGCAGAACTGCTGGCCCCCCGTGGCTCCTGCTGCAGCCCCCCCCGGGCACCGCGGGCTCTGCGGGCGGAGGACGGGCTGCTGTGGCTGCCCCCCGGTGCCGACAGGGAGCCGGGGCTGTGCCCACCTGCTTGGTGGTGCCCCGCAGCTTCCATCTCAGAGAGGCTGTAGGCCATGGCCAGCTGCAAGTCCTCATCCTCATCCTCGCTGTCCGTGTAGAGGCAGACAGGTGAGGAGCTCGAGGTCTGGTGTGAGGCTGGTGCTGGCGGTGAGGGGGGCCGTGGCCTGGGGAAGGCGTGCTGCTCCCGCCGGCTCAGCTCCAGCCCCAGCGCCATGTCATCAGGAACACCTGTGGGGACAGGGGCAGGGCTGGGGGACTCATCCACTCCAGTTCTCCAAAGCTGGAGCGGGGCCCTGGCACCTCCAACCCACTCCACCAATCCTTCAGAGCAGAGCTCCAAACCAGGGCCAACCAAGGCTCAGTCCAAAACAAAGCCCGGATGCAGCACCTCCCAGACACCCCAAAGGGAAAGGGTGGAGGCCTCAACAACTCAGTCTGCAGTGCCCCTTCTCACCATCGATGTGGATCGACTTCAGCTGCCCATTCTCCTCCACTTCCACCCGCTCCCGCCCGTTCTCAACAATCCTGCAGACAGACAAACAGATGGACAGTCAAGGGCCGTGCAGCCGTGCAGCACAGCAGGAAGCTGCAGGGTCAGAGGCCAGCTGATGGAGGGAAGTCTGTAGGAGCAAGGTGGGCTGGCACTGCCCTCACCTCTTGGTGGTGATACGCCTGCCGTTAACAAAGGTGGTGGAGGTGGAAACAGAGCGGAAGCCCAGTCCTGCGTCTGGACCAGAGCTGAAGGATGAAGCGAAGAAATCTAGAGAAGGGAACAACAAGGTTGGTGTCAGGGTGGGTGGCAGGAGGGCAGGGGACAGACTGTGCAGGGGAACATGGTGCTCTGGGACTCCCCTGCTGGGAGGAATGGCAGCATCTCCTACCTGAGGATCCTGGGAAGGGGGAAAAGAAGTGGCCTCCCCCATGGTGCCGGGGGCCAGGTCCTCGCAGCTCAGAGAAGGGCATCATGTCATCTGAAAGGCAGGGATCCCCCCCATCAGCACTACCCCATCAGCTTGGTGAACCAGAAGCAGGGCACTGACATAGGGACCCTCTGCCAGGGCCAGCCATGAGCTCTATCCCCAGCCCAGCAGCTGCCCCACAGACAGAGAGATGCCCAAGGGCCAGCCTCCCCTGCCCCACACACACCAAAGAATTCAGCAAAGGGGTCTCGTCCGCCAAAGAACTCCCGGAAGACGTCGTGAGCGCTGCGGAAGGTGAAGGTGAATTCGGGGGCCCCAGCACTGGCCCTGGAGCTGCCTGCTCCTGCTGGAGAGAAGACACTCAGTGTTAAATGGAGCCCTGGGTGACATCTCGCCTGAAGGGTGGGGAGCCCTGGTGGCACTGAGCCACACTGGGTCTTCAGGAAGGGATGTATCCAGAGCTGCACTCACCCCCAGGGCCCTGCTCACCTGCTCCCATGAGTCCATCCTTGCCATAGCGGTCGTAGATGTCACGCTTCTGCTCTGCAAGAAGAAAGGGGGCTGCAGGGAAGCTGCCTGCCAGGTGGGGACAGGAGCACTGACACTTCTCCCAACCAAGGGAGGTGCAGAACAGCAAGGAGCAAGAGGAGGTGGTTGGCACAAGCTGCAGCACCGAACTCAAAACCAAGTAAGACCACTGCGCAAGAATGCAAAAGCTTCAGGCCCATGGGGGAGAGCCCATTGTGGATGTCAACAGCTCAGCATCTCTCCCAAGGCTGTTTTGGGAGACATGTGAAGAAGTAACCAAGCCTCAAAAGCTGTGTGGTAAAGCTTTAGGGACCACTGCCTCCTGGGGACAGCCAGGGATGCAGCCTGGGCGAGCCCAGGAGCAGGACATGCCAGTGTGAACAGTCCCAAGGCAGACACACACACACACACAGAAGACATCACTGTGGCCTCTTACTGTCCGACAGCACTTCGTACGCCTCGGCGATCTCCTTGAACCTCTGCTCAGCATACTCCTTGTTGTCTGGGTTCTTGTCCGGGTGCCATTTCAGAGCAGCCTTCCTGTACCTGCACACAGGGTCAGTGATGGGCACACAGCAGCCCCTGGCCTCTTGGGCCAGCAACCCCCACCTGAGCATGCACCTCCTCGCCTGAGGGCAGGGGCACCCCAAGCTGCTTCCCCCAGCACCCTACAGCCTCAGGCACTGAACAGGAGCTCCTGGACTAGTTCTTCCTCCCAACGGTATGTGTTTTCATATATGAATGTATATACACACATATATATAGATATATACATATTTATGCATACACACACCAACACACACAGACTAAACAAACAAACCAGAAATTACCCCAGAACTGCAGCACAACCACAGCAGAGCAACGTGTGCCCACCTCAGCTGCCCTCATCAATGGCTCTGGACAATGCTCACAGGTTTGTTCTGGAGCCTTCATGGGCTCCACTGTGAGTGTGCATGGACCAGGGGTTGCTAGGGGCCTCCGGGGGCCAGGAGAGCACCAGCAGCTCTCTCCTCCCCACTACAGCTAGCTTAACCCATGCTTCTCAGCTTCTCCCACTCCCCATTGGGAAGCCCCCCATGGGGACCTCTGCCACCTGTTGGCAAGCCAGCAATCTGCTGGCATTCCCCTCAGGCGATGCCTCACCCCAGTGAGAGCAGCAGCACCTGGGCAGGGCACCAGGCAGGAGTTGCAGACACTCAGGAGGCTCTGTCAGCTCCCCAGCAGTACCTGAGGCACAGCACCCACCTGCCCACATCCCTAAAAGGGGACTGCTCTTCACTCTGTGACCTCCAGTCCCCTGACTTTGATGCTAGCAGGGTCCCTGTGCCCCAACTATCTGCCATCCCTGCACCCTTTGGCAGAGAGAGAAAGAAAGGGGAGCCTCCAAACACCACCAAGACTTGCCTCCAGCCCCAGGCTGACAGCAGGGAGAGAGGAACCAAACCCCACCAAAAGATGTCTTTGTACGGCAGCAAAGCCCAACCCCGCTCTGGCATCCATACAAAGGAAACAAAGGCTGAATTGTCACCTCTGGAGCTGGGCCCTGTCCCCACTGCCCCGAAGGGAGCCCCTGCCTTGCTGGCACAAGGTGGGGGTGCTCAGGGGACTCTGGCCCACAGGCAGAGGCAGGCTGCCATACACTTACGCCTTCTTGATGTCCTCAGCGGAGGCATTACGGCTCACCCCCAGCGCTTCGTAGTAGTCGACCATGACGTGAGCTGTCCCACGGGGTCACTGCAGGGGGAGAAGGCAAAGTCAGGAATCCACAGGCACAGCCCGGTAGTGCTGGGTGTGGGACAGCAAGGGCAGGCTGCTCACCCTCTCTAGCGCCCCGGCCACCCCACTGCCTCCCGAGAGCAATCAGTGCCACAAGCCATGCCCAGCTCCCCAGCACCCTGCCCGCCCCTCGGCCCCCCGGGAGCACCGACAGCCCCGGCCGGGGACCCTTTGCTGCTGACGCACCGCCGTCCCGTCGGGTCACCCCGGCTTGCCCAGGCGGGGAGAACGGGGGAAGGGTCCCCGCTGTCGGTGCCGCTCCCTGCCCGCTCCCCCGGGGCTCAGTGGCGGGGCGCGGGGCGGCGGGAGGCCGCAGCCCGCTAAGGTGCTTAGCGGCTGGAGCGGATTAAGGGCTCAGCGGGGACCGTCCCCGGGCACGCCGGGACACTTCCACCGGCCGGCCCGCTCCGGGTGGGGGACAGGAGCAGAATGCAGCCGCTGCAGCCCCCCGCGACCCCCCGCGGTACCGTCCCGCCCCCGGTACTCGCCCCCGGCCCGTGAGTCCCAGCTGACGGGAGGGCGGTGCTGGCGCAGGCACCGGCACCGCCGCGGCACTGGGCCCGCCCCCCGGCCCGGCCGTAAACACGGCGCTGCCGGGGCCACCCGCCGCTGCTGGAAGTTTCCGCACCCCGCCCCTCCGCCACCGGCGAGCGGCGCTGGGCCGCGGCCAGCGGATCTGGGGCACCGGGAGGGGCGGTGGTGGCAGCACGGCAAGGGACGGCGCCGGCCCCGCTCCCCCCGTGGGCCACGGGCCGCCTCTCCCCGGTGGCGCCTTGCGCCCCGCTCCCCCCGTCCCGGCCCGGGGCCCACCTGAGCGCCGCCGCAGAGCCCTCCCCGCCCGCCCGGGCCGCCCGCGGCCGGTGTCGCGCGTCCCCCGCGCCCGGGCCACCGCGGGCCTGGAGGCGGCTCCGCTGCGTGACGGGCGGCGGCCGCAGCCAACCGCGAGCCCTGACGTCACGCCCTCGCCGTTCGCCGGGTGACGTAATGGGAGGCGCGTGCGGGCCGGCCGCGCGGCCGCTGCGCCGGTCGGGCCCCCCTCAGCCCCGGTCTGGCCTCAGCCCGGTCTCTGTCCCCGCCGGCTGCTCCGCTCCCAGAGCCGCGCTGGGTCCCGGACAGCGCCAGCAAGGTGCGGTGGCAGCGGCCTGTCCTGCCGGTGCCGGTGCTGACAGCGCACCGCGCCGGGGCACGGCTGCAGCCCGGGGCAGCGCCCGGCGCCGCGTGCCGCTGGCTGCCCGCCGAGTCAGCTGCCCGGCCGGTCCCGCCGGCAAGGAGGAGCCGGCCGGGGGGGACAGCCGAGGTGACTCAGCGCTTTGTCGGGGCGGGGGACGTGACGGGGCGCAGCTTGCCGGAGTGGCGGGCACAGCTCCCTGCCAGCAGCCCGGGCCGGCTGGCACGGCTGTGGCACCGCTGTGGCACCGCTGTGGCACCGGCAGCCCGGAGCTGCGGGCCAACCGCGCACCAGGGTGCCCGGGTCCCGTAGAATGCACCGGGAGCTGCGTTGTTGGCTTTTCTCGCTCACAGCCCCTGCCCGGACAGCTGCTGCAGAGGAGCTGTGCTCACCCATTCTCTAGGTCCTGGGCGGTCTCGGTCAGCTGCACCTCTGAATGTGTCCTCGCCACGAGGATTTATGATTCCCTCTTGTGGCCTGGATGGGAGAAGCAGAGAGCTTGATCTTTCTGCAGGGTCAGAGATTTTTGGATCCACTGCCACACCTACAACACAGCTGGAAGCTTCATCACCTCCCAGACATTCCTAGCTGGGAAGCCTGGCAGAATGAGGAGGCCTGAGACAGGCCATTCCCAGCACTGCTCAGGGACAAGTTCCAGGACAGATATCCCCGAGAAAAGCCTTCCCCAGCCATGAGTCGTGCGCCTGGGGTGGATGAAATGCCAAGGGCGTCATCTCATGTGCCAGAGGCATTTCTCCCTCCAAGGAATGGGAGACCGTTCCCTGCCATCAGACGGCAATTTCCTTGATGATTTCCTTGAACAACAGCTTGGAGTACTTCCTGCCCCCGGGGATTTTTCCCCGGATGCCATTGCCGCACTGTCCTCCTGTGCCTGTTTGCCCACGAGCAGGGAGCTGCTCCCTGGGGGCTGCCTGTGGCCAGGGCCCCTCCCCGGCTGCCGGGGCTCTGGTTTGGCCCATCGGCCCAGCAGTGGGTGCAGAGCCGGCATGGGCACTAGATGGAGCCACAGGCTGCTTCACAGGGATCCCATCCTGCGGCTGGGAGGGCGAGGAGAAGCCGAGACTTGGTGCCTTGCTCTCCTTTCCCTGGCTTTTGTGGCTGATGTGAGGACAAGGAGGCCCCGGGATGACAGCTCTCAGCTCGCTCTGTGCGCACCGGTGCGGAGGCCTCTGTGCTGGGATAGGAGAGAGCTCCATATGCTAGCGGTGAATCTGGAGCCGGGGGAGCACTTTGCTGATGCCTTCATGACAAAATTTTCCCTCACACCTTGAGGATTTGGAGTGAGGAGGACTGACACCTCCCCACTATTCTTACGGGAGGCAGTGGAGAGCTGGGCAGTAGCCCAGCACAGCACGGGTAGGAGAGAAGATGAGTATCAGCCACACCTCATCCCAGACCTGCCACACTCCCTCTTCTACTCAAGCCTGGCAGCAGCCAAATAAAAGAAGCCCACCACTCACTGATGCCTCACACCTTCAGCTGCAGCACCCTGCCCTCTTCACCTGCCTTTTCCTCCTAGGTATGCCTGAACTCCTGATGCTCACATCAGCTTCGAATCAAGCACAGGCATCTTGAGCGTGTCTCAAGAAAACCTTTATTTCTTAACAAATTTTGAGTATTGCTGTGTTGCAAGCTTGTTTTCAGCTTTTCAGGGTCTCAAAAATGCTCATGAAATACTCTTGAGACTTTCTGAGGAAAGAGATTTTGGGTGAGCAAAGCAGGATGCCAACGGACCAAATGTTTTTATCCTGGTTACCCAATCTCTCAGGAAGCCAACAGAATTGCATCATAAACCCATGATATATTATTACACAAACCACAAATTAAGCTATATATTTTTTTTCAGGACTGCACAACATTTCAGCTTTTGATTTCCACATGAAAACACAAGCCCTTTCACAGCCTTAACAAAACTGGCAATTATGTACTGAAAAATTGTATTCTTGGCAATTTTTGAGCTAAGAAGTGCTCAGCAAGTCGTGTGCCCGCTGCTCCCCTCATCACATTCAGCCAACTCCCTTCCTCTTCTCCCCATTCCCCATTCTCCCTTCCTCTTCTCCCCTATTCCTTGCAGTGGAGCAGCAGCAGGGAAGGAGCAGGAGCCAACGCCACTAGGATGGAGTGAGAGGGTTTGAGCAGAGTGAGACAGGCTCCTGGGTGCCATTTCTGTGCCACCTTCCTCTGCCTGCCTGCTTCTAGGACAGATGGTGATGCTGTCCATCTCTTGGCATGGCCCAAAAAAGGGGTCAGTGGGAGCTCCAGGGCTGCGTTAGATTGGAGACCCCCAAGTACAGGGGGCTGGTGAAGACATTGCTTGAGCAATTTTTAAAATCCCCATTGGTTCTTTTACTCCTATTTTTAAAGTCCACATTGGTTCTTTTACTCACAGTCCTGCTGTCTCATCCAAAAAGCCCTGTCCACCCTGCCTAACTTCCCTGCACAGCTAATTTCTTCACACCTTCATGTTTTTCATGTTCTGCATGTTTGTCTTGGAGGCCAGGCTCTCAGCCACCTGCCCATCTCCTTGTCCACTCTGTTCTCATCTCAGCTGGCTGCTTTAGAATTGGACCTTCTAGAGACTGGGGACAATCCAGGCAGGCAAAGTCATGCAGCTGCTCTTGGTTTGCATGGCAGAACAGAGAAGTGAGAAACAGCAAAGTCAGGGCGACTTTGGATCAAGCAGGGCGATGACTTTGAGGCAGATTTAGCAATGTGACAGAGCCAGGCTGTGTGTCCCAGGCTCTACCTTGCAGGGATGCTCGCGTGTGCTGACAACGGGGATGCTGCCCCAGCCAAAACCCAGGCAAAACTGAGGTGCTTGCAGATTTTAAATCAACAGAGTCAGAGGCTGGCAGAGATGGCAGAAGCCCATGACTGAACAGGTTATCCGTGATGAGCAGGCACACAGGCCCAGGGAGCAGCTGAGCCTCATGGCAGCAGGGTTTTGCACACATCCCTGGCGTGTGGTTGGTGACAGGTTGGGCTGGATAACCCTGTGGGGCACAGGAGCAGAACACCCCAAACTCATCCACAGGGAAGCTGGGAGCTGCATGGGCTGGATCAGATCCCAGGGGAAGGGAGATGAAAGATAATGAATAGACTGATACCACACACCCCCTCCATATGCTAGGGAACCCTCCAGCTGCAGAGGGAGCAGAAGCTGCAGCTCACCCTGGACAGGAAGGGATCCTGTTGTGAAGCAAAACCTGATTTTGCTCATGCTCACCAACATGTCCATGCCCACATCCTCCCAAGCTCCACATCCCTGGTGTTCATCTGGCTTGGCCAGGATTTTCTGCAGTGCCTGGTAGGACTGGGGTCACAGGCTGGCTGGTCCTCACCGTGCCCTCCAGCTACATGCCAGCCTTGGCCCATTGTGTCACCTAGGCATGGCTCAAAGGCAAACAGTGAGCCAACCAGGGACAGGTAAAAAAGGACATGGAGCAAATGCATTTGCATGAGAAGAAAACGAGAAAGAGGAAAAAAGAATGCCAGAAAGCAACTTTCTGTGGTTTTCCACAGCCCTTGGTGCCTAACTACCTGTGCAAGAGTGGGACCTTGGAGACAGTGCTGTGGATGCAAAGAGAAGTCTGCAGTTTGGATGCCATCTGTAACATACCCACCTGTAACACATTACCTGCTGAAATCGACATTTGCAGTTCATCAGGCCCACACTGAGAGCATTAGTGAGCCTAACCGAGGGTCTTGCTGAGCTGCTGATGGCAATTTTTAGCTGAGCTGGGAAAACTGGGGTAATTCCAAAGGACTGGAGAACAGAAATCACTCCAGTCATTAAAAAAATTAACTGGTTGACCCAGAAAACTCTAGATTACTGATAATACCAGAAAGAAATAACAGAATAATTCTTTTTATTCTATCAGCAGAGAATACTGAAAAATGTATTTACCACTGTATCCTTGTCTCAGGTAAGGAAAGTGTTGCTTTGCAAACTTGTCATCACCTTCAGCATGATTATATGTCTGGCTGATTCAGATCAACACCACTGGTATGACACCCTCACTTGGAAGCTGGCACAAGATAATGCTAACAGTATTTGCATAAATCACGGCATTGCTGGAGTGAAACAATCAGTTTTCCATGTCCACAGATGAAGGAAGCTCAGAGCTGCTGCCAATGGTCTTTCCAGATCTACTTTTTGTGTTGCCCCTATATTTATTTTATTTGAATATTTATC